ATGTATGTATGTATGTATGTATGTATGTATGTATGTATGTATGCATGTATGTATGTATATATGTATATGTGTGTGTGTGTTTGACGACTTTTTCCAGTTCGGAAGAAGTGAAATTTTAGATGCTTTTCACGTCGGGAGACGAAATGTCGAAGTACATTTCTGGTGTGATTATGTTCCACGAGACGTTCTATCAAAAAGCTGATGATGGTACACCATTCGTCAAAATTTTGCAGAGTAAAGGCATTCTTCCTGGCATTAAGGTTGGTTACACTTCAAAGGATTTTATTGCCATTTATCAGCAAATAACTCAGTGATAAATTTAATGATCAGCGGATTATGAATAAAATCTGTTTTTTTTTTTTTTTTTTTTTTAGGGAATGTGTACATCTCTCAAAAAACAGCCTTTTGATTTAAGAAAAAATTTTGATATGTTTCAAATTGGAGAGGGATTTTGAGATATTTTAGTTTTTTTTTTTTTTTTTTTCAGAGTGTTATTGTAAATCAGTTCATTAATCCTGCGCTGTATGTTGTGTTTACTTTCTAACTAAACGAGTGGCATTTGTTCTGTATGAGGAATAAATGTATTTTATCGTGCTGAATCAATTTTTCAGGTTGACTTGGGTGTTGTTCCAATGGCCGGAACTGTTGGCGAAGGAACCACACAGGGTTTGGATGATCTAAACAAACGATGCGCCCAGTATAAGAAGGTATTTTTCGAACCGTGATTCATAAGCGGAAAAGCATTCCGAGCAATTTTTGCTGGATGAATTTGTTATTTAGGAGATTCAAATTTTTGTCGCATTTTTGACGATTTTGCCAGATTTTTGGTGAAATCACTGATTCAGGATGGTGCACAATTTGCGAAATGGCGTTGTGTTCACAAAATTGGCCCAACCACTCCAAGTCATATGGCGTTGGTGGAAATTGCTGAGGTAAACAGTTTCATTTTGCATTTTTCTGTTTGTGAGATGTACACGCATTTTTCTTTTCTGAGTTATGTAATTTTTCTCACTTTCGATACATTGGTTTTCAGACCTGTTTTTTTGGACTTTTTTTGGACTTTTTCAAACCTGTTTTTTCTTTTGGACTTTTTTTCAATTTTTTTTGGCTCTTTGGACTTTTTTTGACTTTAATAAGTTGAGATTAATTTGGGCTTTTCTGGATGACTTTATAAGTTGAGGGGTTATATCCTTAGAAGTGTAAAATTCGTGTTTGAGTTTAGTTGATTCCCACTGGTCGAACCTCATTTTCAACACTTCCTGCGGCCTGGCTAAAATAGGCCGGGCAATTTTAATCTTTTCGACGTTTTCCATAAAATCCGCTTGGTGCGGAAAAGAGAAGATAGTTGGAACTCATCATTTTCGGAACTATACAGTCCGGGGTTATTAAATTGCTTTATTTCTAATTCTGCAATTTGCTTATTTTTGGCTCGGTTTCAAGCGAATATCGCTGTGACAATGATACGTGCTTCCGAAAAGTTACTTAGCCTATTGTTCGGGGGATAAAAGAATTTGTAGCTGAATAACCACAAATTTTTACTTTTTTTTTTTGCAGGTATTGGCTCGTTACGCATCAATTTGCCAGCAGCATGGTTTGGTACCAATTGTAGAGCCAGAAACTTTGCCGGATGGCGAACACGATTTGGACCGCTGCCAGAAAGTCACTGAATTGGTCCTCTCATACACCTACAAGGCACTGATTGACCACCATGTGTATCTGGAGGGAACACTGCTCAAGCCAAATATGGTCACTCCAGGTAACTGTTACTGTAAATTACTGAACTGAATTCGTTGTATATTTGTGATTGGCTAAGCTTAGTAGGAAGTTATGACAGGAAAGAATGAGGAAAAAAGAGAAAAAAAGAGGGAAAGAAGGTGAGAAATGAAAATTAGAAAATTTATGAAATTATTAAAATAGGTAGGAGAAGTGTTTCGGTCCATTAAGTCGTATACATTTCTTACGCCATTACCATAATTGGACCTCGTCAGTACGACGATTGTGGTAATTGAAGTTACTGAAAGTTAGTGTTAAATTAATTGTGTAATGCATGTTAGTAGTGCATTACACAATTAATAATTCAAAGTGATATCGAAGGTTGATTCCAGAACTCTTGTTTTAAAAATTTCCGTCTCCACGCAGCTTCTCAGAATGATGCGATGAAGCTAAGCTTTGATTCGTACGATCACTAATCGCCATCACTATTTTGATTCTCTCGTCAACTACGTATCAATCCTCTGTTTATTTGGTATTAAATGCAAAGTTAAATGCAGGTTGTTTAAGCGGAATTATAAATGCTATTCGAACTAGCTAGTAGTAGAATATGTAGAAAATTTTATGGACTGAAAAGTGTGATACTTATGAAGAAATAATAATTTGGCTGGAATTAACACGTTTCGGTCCATTAAAGTAAAAGGCAGTACGGGCCTCAAAGGCCTCTAAGGGGATGGGAGGAGGTAGTTGCCAGGGCCAGGGACAGCGGCCCATTCTGCGAAAGGTATCGACCCCAAGGGTCGCACCAACCCTAAATGTAATAGGAATAAGCCGGCGTTGGACGGTGGCCGTCCAGAATCCAATGAGGTAGTGAAGGAAGGAAAGTAAAAAAGGTGAAGATTGTTGTAACGCATATTTACTAAAACAAAGTGGCATGTAGAGAAGTCATGTAAAGAGCTGTATGTAAAAAAAAAGTCTTGCCGGTGTTTAATCCCTAAGCTGTAAACACAGACAGCAGGAGGCGTATACGTCTCTTAACTCAGCGCTACATTCGGATCCTCTCAGTAAAACGATTGGCATAAATCATTATTACATATTACATAGTAAACAATAGTAAATTATAGACAGTAAATAACTATCGTAGTAAATAATTATCTTAATAAATACTATCATTGTAAGTAATTACACAGTAAATTTTAAAAGAGTTGAAAATTAATGAAATAATAGAGTGAGGATGGAGTTAAAGGTGAAGAGCGGAGAGAAGAGGGGGGAGGGAGAGGGGCTGAAATAGTTATCGATGCGGCCAGTAAATTTTTCATTTATTATAACATTTACGTATAATTTGCTTCAGGTATTTAGTTAGATCTTTCTGTTTGTCTGGTGACCTTGACCTTCACCACTTAAGTTTTTTTTCCAACTTTTCGTTGTACGTACTTTCAAGTGTTAATCGTTCGGCCGGACAGTTTGACTGATTTCTTTTACAGGTATGCAATACAAAGGCAAATGCTCACACGAAGATATTGCACGAGCAACAGTCACGGCCCTTCAGCGTACAGTCCCTGTGGCTGTACCGGGTGTTGTGTTCCTGTCTGGTGGTCAGTCTGAGGAAGATGCAACTCTTAACCTGAATGCCATCAACCAATATGCTGTATGTTTTTTCCTTTTTCTTTCCGAAATTTTCAGGTTAAGAAGTTTTAAGACATAGAAGTGGCCAGCACGTGGGCGTTGAAATTTTTTATCACTACAAAAACCATAGAATCAACTTTTCCCGCAAAAATTTGCTAAGCTGATATGTTGCATGAGTTTGCGTTAATTCTGTTTGCAGCCCAGTTCAAAAGCATATCCCTTATATAGGGTTTATACTATTGTAGTGTGACCCTAGTTTCTGGAACTTGCAAGCAGTCTACGCTGCAGTGTCTTTTTTTAACCATCCATATAGGGTTCTGAGGTAATGCTTTGTGAGAACACTCCATTGGCTCACTGATGTAACGAAAAATTTTTATCGAAATACCGATTTTTTTGGACAAATTTTGTCAAAATCGAAAAGAATTGACAAAACGAAGAATTTTGCAAACAGCTTCTGCCCGATTTTCATCATATACGTCAGCCTTAAAAGTTACTGACTGTACCTGGAATGTTGGATCTCGGTGCTTAGTGAATTTGAACTGTATAAGTGGTAATTTGAACTGTAATTTTGATCAAATTTACACGGGTTTTCGCCGAATATGACTATTTTTTTCACCGAAATTACTTTTACTTCTCAGTTTTTTTTAGTCTTTGCAACATAGCTTCTGAATTTTACACGAATCTACTACAGCTATGGCGTGTTTTCAGGGCAAAAAACCATGGGCTCTAACGTTCAGCTATGGTCGAGCACTGCAAGCATCTGCACTGGCTGCATGGGGCGGTAAACCGGAGAATCTTCAGGCCGGAAAAGAGACATTCTTGAAGCGTGCCCAGGCGAATTCGCTTGCCCAGCTGGGCAAGTACACTGGTGGTGGTGCTGCTGCAGCAGCAGCAGCCCAGAATCTGTACATCGCAAATCATGCCTATTAGAGATTGCTAGCGCGCCTCGATCTCTCTCTCCATCGTCCACTGAGTATTTCATATTATTATTTTAGTCGTAGGCGCTTATCCGCATATTGTCCTCGCCGCCATCATCATCATCATCGTCGTCGTCATCGTCATGATCGGCATCGAAATCATCGGCATCGTTTTTTGTGTAGTGGTACTTGCTACTTTGCCGAACAAATTTTTTTTTCATAGTGAATTTTCTCTCATTCCCTTAGTAGATGGATGATAAATGATGCTGCTGCTGCTGCTGTGTATGAGATGATTCGATTTTTGGTACAGAAAAATACACCTCTGATGATACAGTTGAAGCAGTATCTGATAACCGTACTTTACTCATTCACTGATTAGAAAAAAGCGCTGAAAGTTGTCAGTTTGAGTAATCTGCAATAAATTATTAGTCGAGTAAAACGCGAGATTCTCGCTGGTGAGGAACACTGCACACACACAGGCGGATCTAGAGGCGGAGGATGGGCGTTGAGCTCCCCCCTCCAACAGCACAGGCACCAGTGCTGCAGAAGTCCGGGTCTAAAGCTAAAATCAAATTAAGCCTAAAGTAACTGTAAATTGAAGTAATTCTGTGTTACAACTCTATCGCTAGTTGTTGCATGGTTCTGCTAGGGTGAGGGGAAGGGCTTTCCTGCCCGCCTCCCCCAAGGAACCCTACTCCCCCCCGCCCCATCTTCTCTAGAAATCCGTCTTGGATCCGCCTATTACTGGACTGAACGTGACATATCAGCAAACAACGAGTCTTCTGGCAAACAAGCTTATTTTCTACTACAGTTGAAAAAGCTATTTCCTCTCGATTGGAGGGGAAATAGCTGTTCCTTGAATCTTTCAGTCGCACATGGGTGTGGGACATTTTCTTAAAATTTCAACCTTCCAGCTTTTCTCGTTCCCGAGTTAGTAATTTTCCTGCCAGAACTTTCACGTGTCTTCCAGGTGTGCGTGGCAAATGGGGTCGCATTTGGCCAGGGAACACATTGGCAAAATTTCTGCTTCAAAACTTGCGTTGTTGGCGGGTAGAGATACCCGGCCAGAAGAACACACACACGAACATACACATACACAAACACACATACACATTTCTTCCGCCTGATTCAGCGTTCCAGTGCTGCACAGCAAAAACGCATAACTCGTACTGTTTTTCAAGAAACACAAAGAACGACAGTGAAGCGAATGGTCAAAAACTGATTTATCGGAAGAGCCTGTGTCGGCGCGAGTGCCACGTGAGCCACTTTTCTGCAGCAGAAGTTGTTAAATGACCAGAAAAGCGATTTTCACTGGCCTCGGAAGCGTTTTCGTGTTTGGAGATCGCCGCAGCTATGCGACGGTGCTTGTCGGGTCTGTTGCACATCTAAAATTAGTTGAGAAACGAAGGTAGTAAAGAGTAAAATAAAAAAGTAATCACGGTGAATAATCATGATGAAGTGTCGTGATAAAATACACCACTATAAATAATCATGATAATAATCGCAATAAAGTATCGTGATAAACCGACACGACAAACTTTCTTGTCATGATAAGTACCGTCTGAAAATGTCGCAATAAAGTATCATGCTAAAGTATCATATCTTTTTGGAAAAATGTCATTAGTATCACACAGCAGAGCGGGCATACTTGCGCAACTCGCATTTTTACCGCAGAAAAGAGTAAATATTTTAATATGTCATGTAATAATGATAAAGGATAAATATAATATTTAAGAAATAGTAAAAATTATTGAAAACCCAAAAAAATTATTAAACTAACGGAGCAGGAATGTTTCGGTCCATCAAGTCGTACACACATACTCCTATTCAGCACCACAACAGCACAATCGCTCCTTACTCGCATATAAACCTGTAAAGTTAAATTCAGTCCTCAAGTGGGCGGGGCCAAGCCTCGCCTGCGGACGTTTGAAAGCTTTGGCGCCAAAACTATCAACTCGGAAACCAGAAAAGCTAGGAAGCTGAAATTTTAGGACTGTAAGACAATAAATGGTATAGGAGCGAGCAAGAAAGAAAATATGATAGCTCGGTGGACGAGCCTTTGGGAGGGCAGTTGCACAGCGAGAATGGCACGAATTTCGAATTCGAATTGTGCGGCTGGGCAGCCGTAGCGATCGATAATTGTGGCGTGCGTGTTTGTGCTTACGTGTGGGCACGTGGTATGTATGGTTCCTGGCGTGGTGATTTCACGCGTGATGGTGCTGTTTGGGAGTGGTGGTACGTAGGAGGGTGGATTGACGGGAGGAGTGGTGTGCGGCGCATCTGTGGACACTTTTGTACCCTCTTCCCCTCCCTCTTTGTCTTTGTATTTTTATGAGAGGGGGTTCGGGGTGCGACGGGTTAGACGGGGGAGAGCGAAGTCGTGTACAGAACTGGATTATGAGGAGAAACGGGGGGGGGGGGGG